ATAATGACTATTTTATTTCCAACTATACCAAGGATGGCAGAACAATCAGCAAAAAGTGAAAGACTTGAAAAAATATTGGCAATGTATATGAATTGTTTATAGAGACATATGTGTGGTTAGCTCTATCAGTTTTTGTCTCGCTTGACGGAGTCAAAAAACGAGACATAGGTCTACTGTTTCCGGCGTCTGCGGCGGCATCAACAATGTATTAGTTTGTGATTAGGTCTAGTTTATGGTGAACCACTAGTGGTAAGTCAAAGATATTTGGTATGCAGTTGTATTAGTATTGGCACATCTCATTACCATGGAGATTATTTGGCACTGCCCCATTAGTTATGGTCTATTGACTTTGAAATTTATCCTTAGTTTTCATGTATTAGTTTGTGATTAGGTGCATGAGTTTATTGGGAACCACTAGTGGTAAGTTAATGATAATTGGTATGCAGTTGTATAAGCATTGGCATGTCTCATGTCCCTAGAGATTATTTGGCCCCACCCCCTCAGTCATGGTCTATTGACTTTGAAACTTTTGCTTAGTATTCATGTATTAGTTTGTGATTAAGTTGGTTTATTGGGAACCACGAATGGTAGGTCAATGATATTTGGTATGCAGTTGTATTAGCATTGGCACATCTCATTACCATGGAGATTATTTGACCCTGCCCCCTCAGTTATGGTTAATTGACTTTGAAATTTTGCTTAGTTTACATGTATTAGTTTGTGTTAAGGTTTGTTTAAAGAGAACTACTTATGATAAGTCAATGGTATTTGGTATGCAGTTGTATTTGCATTGGCACATCTCATTTCCAAGGAGATTGTTTAGCCATTTACCTTCAGTCATGGTTTATTGACTTTGAATATTTGCAAAACTTACATGTTAAAGTGTTGCTATTTTAATTTCAACATTTGCATTATCGAAATTACAAAATCGCGAGACATATCTCTGTGATAACAGTGTATATGTAAGTGAAAATAGGTTTGCAATAAAAGGACATACAATATTTTTATTTCAAATTTCAAATTTACATTATTCTAAATGCATCATGATTGTCAGATTGTAGAAAAACACAAACCATGAATTAAAATTGATTTAAAATAATGGTTAAAAGTATAATTTTGTTACAGAAAATTTATCTCATCTGAAAAAAGTTTGCTATATATATAAACAAATATCAAATGATCATCTCAGAAATAAATTGCGCTTCAAGTGCTGCGTCTTTACTAACATTTAACATAGTTGTTTTTAGAGCTAGTTTTGATTGGTCAGGTTTTATTGTCTGTATCTTGCTTTTGTTCTATGGATGGTTCAGTGGTTTCAATGTATTCAGAATATGATGTGTGTTATTCAAAGGGATCTTTTAATGTAATTGTGAAATGATATACATTTGATATTTGATAGTTATTGAGATGGAAAAGACCAATATAAGTGCATTAAGCTTTCAATTTTGTTTATAATTTTCAAAATGAAGTTAAAAAACATTTTAAATCAAAATCTAATTGTATTTGACACGATATGATGCATCTGAAATCGAAAAAAATTGAAAAAATGCATTCTGAATATTAAATTAAATTTAAGCACTCCAAATAAAAGTTAATATTGTACGGTATATTGAATTGAATTTAAGCACAAGTTGAAAAAAATCCAAAAAGTATATACGTACATCGGCTTTTTGTCTGGTTCTGAAAAGCCAAGACGGCAACGAAGGAACACCTGCAGTAGAAATAATATTTAGTAAGTCTAATGTGAATGATCTGGGTACTTCACATATTTTATATTGTTTTGACCGAACAAAAAAAAAAGATTATTATCTATAATTTCCAATACTTTCATTCATTCACCTGAAACTATCATCTTCCAGTAATCTTTATAATTAACACATGAAATATATCAAACCTTGGGATAATTTTCAACCTTGGACCTTCGATACTAGGCTGTCATCTATATTTTGTCTACATTCATTAGATGAAACATTCATATGGGTGTTATCTTAAAATTAAACTTGTGTATGATTCTCATTGTAAATAGTTCCTTAAACCATTTAACATTGTGAATGTTGAAAATGTTGCATAACCGTTCTTAAAAAATCCCCCAGGTTTAAAATTCAAAATTTGTAGAACTGTAGATTCTACCTTTGAATCGAATGTGAGAAGACATTTCTCCACTTTAAACAGTTAATTTTTTATTTAAAAAGTGAGGCTTGAAATTTGTTTTGTTTTCAACATTTTCTCCAATTGCCAAGTTAAAGGTTTAAATCAATGTTAGTACGACTGAAAGGAAGAGGTACTGTATTTAACTATGCTTCCAAATTTAAGAAATGGTCGATGATTTATTTTAAACAATTCGATTTTGCTCTGCATTTTTTTGTCCAGTCTTGAAAATTAACATATAGAAAGACTGTCGACAAAGTTATTTGATTTTTAATTTTTTATTTCATACTATCACCGACATGTTACTGACTAAATGTATCATACAGAAGCCTTTCACTACAGATACTGTGTTTTTCAGTTGTGATGGAAGTGGAGTCCAAACAGGCTGAAATTAAGGGCAAGGGGAGGTAATACCCTGTTTTACTCCTCGTACTGGAAGTTCCTTTAGTGTAGGCAATTTTTTTAATTATGTCTATTATATGTGTATAAGTATTTATATATCAGATGTCTGCTAACTAGTCTATTGCTATTATATAGGGCTTTGTAAATAAACATTACTGTAAGGAGAGTTCTAGATAATAGTTTTAAAGGGTGGAAGAAATTGTGGGTTACAACCAACTTTTTGGAAATTTTCAAAATATTGGATATGTTTTAACACACTTCTGGTACTTAATACATTATGTTATAATAATCCAGTAAATCATCATGATCGGGGGGAAAAAAATTATTAATAGAAAATTTTGTGACAAACTGTATATTTTTATTTTACATATTGTGAATGAAGCAGACATTTCAGTTATTCAAGTGGACAGTGGATTTTTATAGCATAAAAACCAATGTTGAAAAACACTTAACAGCAGTAAGGAATCAATAGCAGTTCCAAGGAAGATGATTAAATAGATCTTGAACCAAGTCGGAGGCTGTACCATGAATGAAATCAGGCAAGTTTATTTAAGCCATACAATTTTTATAGATTCTATAGAAATGAACATCAGTACATAAAAGTACACAAGACAACAAACAATATGATTATTTTTATCTTTCTCATTCATAACACCAATAGCGAGTTCATTTACCATTTTCATATATTTTATAATAAGTTACGAGGTATATGAAAACAATTATAATATCAAATTATTTTGTCCAGGAACAGTTATCGTCCTTTGATTTTCGTTGTCTACAAATACAGTCTAGTGTGGACAGAGTGTTACTTGCAATTTTTTTAATACCCTTTCCAAATTTATTTCTTCCATGTTTTATGCCTCAAATAGCAAGTAGGGGGATGAAATTACACTAAAAAAATTTGGGTCATGAATTTTAAAATAGTGATTTGGTCCAGCTAAAAAAGGTTAAAAATTAGTATTTCGGAAGCTGTCAAAAGAATTCAAGACCCCTTAACATAAAATTGTACATATATTGAGTTAGAGCTGATGAAGTTTTCTATAATTTTGATATAATTTGTCCCAAAAGTAGTACACCACACTAAAAATATTATTGAGAAAGCACAGGTGGGATTTTTTTAGTAATCATTTATTGTCCAAAAGAAATGCACTACGAAATAACTGTTCTCGGGCCATTTTATCTTTACGGGGAGACAAGTACAACAAACAAAACAATAATGTTTCATTCAATGGGAGATTACTTGGATAATTTTTGTGCAGTTGGAAATCACCTTTTTCCAGCTCTTAAATTCCTACACAGACAGGACTGATGCTATATTATTGGGTAGTAAGAAACGAAAAAAACTTTTATAAAGTTTAAGGATGATAGTTTAGTTAAATTGGAAAAATATATAATTTGTGTCAATTTTAATTAGGGCCCCGCCAAATGGCGGATGCCCTATAGTGATCAGTCTGTCTGTCCTTCTGTTCGTCAGTCCGTCCGTAACAAATTGTGTTAGCTCTATATCTAGAGAACCGTTATGATTTCAAAGTTTATACTTGACATGTATATTAACCAACACCAGAGTGTGTGTCATAATGTATGTACAACTTCCTAGGTCAAAGGTCAAGGTCAAGGTAAAAAACTTTGGTTTTAGTTGACAACCCCATGTCCTATGGTAAAGCTCGTGTCCACTCTATATCTTGAGAACCATTATGATTTCAAAATTTATACTTGACATTTATATAAACCAACACCAGAGGGTGTCACGTGTGTTATAATTTATGTACAACTTCCTAGGTCAAAGGTCAAAGTCAAAAACTTTGGTTTCAGTTGACAACCCCATATCCAATGATAAAGATACAAATTTTTTACCACACATTATTCACAGCAGGGCTCACAGAGATGGCTCCCATCTCAATGATATCTAGTTCCTTTTAGGTTATTTCTGGGACATGTTTCATGGTATTTGGAGTAAGGCTTGGTGGCCTACCAGGGCTCGACATTACCGTTTGTCCGATTGTCCGGGACAAGTGGACACAGGCGTCGGGCAAGTGGATTCACCATACTACTTGTCTGATTGGACAAGTGAAAAATCGATGTCAGATGTAAAACATATCAAATTTAAGACTTATTAATTCCCAAATAATTGAATGATTGTTTTATTGATCATACAAAATGAATTAAATATCCATTGATTGAACGTATTTGAACATGGAATAGGATCCCAGTTACGGCAACCAGTCCGGTACCTACGAATGTAGTTCTTAAAAAAAATATATAAATTTTATTTAAAATGGTGTAGTTTTATTATTACACAAGTTCTGTAACTGAATGTAGATTTACTTGAAAGGGTAGGCTTTCTAGCTTGAATTTCTGTAAAAATGTTGATTGATTTAAATGAAATCAGGCGTCTGTACATAGAGTAAATTGCCTAAATTCTAGCCTTTATTTTTCCCCGGAAGTAGATGGACCTATCCTGTTGTCAATCGAAACAAAATTTTGCAACTGAATGCCGGTCATGAGGCACTGAGATTGTACTTAGAAACTTCGAAACAAATGCCTAACATGAAACAGAAGTCCCAAGGTGGCTATCAAAATTATTTATTGGACAGCACCCCATTTATTTACTATGATTTTCAATGCGTTTCAATGGGGGAAATAACTGGGTCCCCGTTCCTGTCAGAGGGCATATTTTGAACACTTCAATCTGCAATTGTAAGCTTATTTTTTGGGTTACATGGATGAAATTTGGGCAGAAACTTGAAAATTCAATAAGAAAAACAATGGTGTAATTATTTTTAAAATTTGAATTAAACTTTTTAAATTAAACTGAAATTTAAATTTATGAAATTTTTAAAAAGTTTGTTTTTCAATTTAAAGTTTCAGAAGGGGTCACAGTAAGGTCATTTTGATGGTATTATGTATTCATACACTTGTAAGTTAAAATGGAGGGATTTTTCAAAAAATATCAGCAAAGAATATTAGAAAAGAGCCACCTGGCAAGAAATAACAAATGTCTTATATGGGATCAGGGGACAACAAAAGATGGAAAATATGGGCTTATTTCTTTCCAGTATCATATTTCTGGTACCTGGAAAAAGAAAAAAGCCCATAGATTCAGTTTTATGGTTTTTAATTAGTTTTTGATAAGTTTTAATATTAAATACAACACTTAATGCCATTTTATGTGTCAAAAAAGCTTGTGTGGGAATGCGGGTCACATTACTGAAGAGCCGCATCACATAAATAACCACAGAATATTTCGTAAACTCAGAAAATCTTGCCAGGGGCTCTCCAATTTTCCAGATTGGGGCCTGGATTTTTTTGGAAGATATATAAGGGGTAGGGCTATAGCTTATATAAACAATTTTAACTGAATGTACAACAATTTTAGACTCCTTTTTAAAGATTTTGGTGGTCCTTAAAAGGACCGTTAATTTTGTCTGTATCTTTTTCAGCAGTAGATGAATGCAGCTATATCTTCCTTTGATTTTGGAACTTTTGAAGAACAGCTTCTGGTAGGTATATTCTTCTTAGCAGGTATTACTCTACCATATGAATGATTGTCCTTTATGCTTTTACAAATGCAGCATCAAGTTTTAGATCAGGTTGCCCTTTTTCATAACTATCTGTACATTTACTTCGATCCTTTTCTCCTACATGAACCTTAGTCTTCTGTCCGGTGCGTTGTAAATTTTTCTTTTTCCTTTCTGGAGTATTTTGGTTTACTTTGTTCCGTTCACACTCCCTTTACATCTGGTCGAAGTGTTTTAATGAACCTATTGAGATTTTAAAACCAATACATTCTGCTTTTTGTCACAAGGAATAAGCTATACCATTATTCAAATTGTGAATTATTGCTGATGCCCTCCCTTCAAATTTCTAGAAAAGTTCACATTCTTTGGTAAGGAAACACTTAGTGCTCCCTGAACAGCTTCACCTTTTTGAGTATTATGATTAAATTTCATTTTCATAAATACTTCTTCGCTAAGTTTCATTTTTAAAATTCCTGCATTATTAACTTGTCTTTGTTATCCATATTCAGGTTGGTTAACTTGTTTGGACCCAAGTACATAGATCTCAGCCACCAACAGTTTGAGTGTCCACCACCACCACACACGTATGAACTAGTGGGACATTTAGAGCAGTCACAAGTATAACAACGCACAGTAGCATTAAGCATTCAGGCAGATCCAGGATTTCCCTCGACATTTGTTAAACTGTAGGAGGTGCCGTCTTGACTGGTTTTAGCTACAAGTGAGAACTTCTCTGCATCTAGCCTCTTCCATTGTATATTAAATGAACTTAGCTGACTGTTTGAAGACTAAGTCTCATGATGTATACCCTTGTTATGGGGTATGCTTCTTTGCATATGTAATTCTTATAAGATTTTTTTTTTTAATTAAAAAATTAATTATAATTAACTTTTTTTCAGCAAAATTTTTTTTTAACTAGATTTCTATACAAATAATGAATTTATCTATCATGTGCAATTTACAGAATGTAAATATCTTTTAAAATAAAAAAGTTTTGCTGATTTTAAGAATATTTTCTTCATGAATTTATGATTTTATCCGATCAATTTTCTGGTATTTGAGATGTCATAGATAAGGATCAATAACTCTTTAACTGTTGGATCAAATCTATTGAAACTTTGCACAATAACTACTGAGATGTATATCTTTATTTTAAAAGTGCAGTTTTAAGTCTGGAAAAAAAATTAAAGTCTGACAGGAATAGGATCCCAGTTACGGCAACCAGTCCGGTACCTACGAATGTAGTTCTTAAAAAAAATATATAACTTTTATTTAAAATGGTGTAGTTTTATTATTACACAAGTTCTGTAACTGAATGTAGATTTACTTGAAAGGGTAGGCTTTCTAGCTTGAATTTCTGTAAAAATTTTGACTGATTTAAATGTAATCAGGCGTCGGTACATAGAGTAAATTGCCTAAATTCTAGCCTTTATTCTTCCCCGGAAGTAGATGGACCTACCCTGTTGTCAATCGAAACAAATTTTGCAACGGAATGCCGGTCATGAGGCACTGAGATTGTACTTAAAAACTTCATAACAAATGCCTAACATGAAACAGAAGTCCCAAGGTGGCTATCAAAATTATTTATTGGACAGCACCCCATTTATTTACTATGATTTTCAATGCGTTTCAATGGGGGAAATAACTGGGTCCCCGTTCTACATGCTGGCAGCCATTGACCAGGGGAATATAAGTAAGGGGGAAGGAAACCAGTGTTAATGCTTTTTCTTAGTATAAGCCTCCTTGAATTAGGAGCACCTCTATATGGAGTTTTACCTTAAATTTAAAAGCTTGAATTAAAGTATGTTTCATTTGATTTTGCTTTTATGCATGACATTACATTAAAAGAGGTTTTATTCAATAAGATCTATATATTATCAAAATAATAGGTTAAGATGTAAAAATTAAATAAAATCTAAAAAGGCAGATTTTCTCACTGAAATTTTGTATGTACTTCATGATCAAGTATCAATGTATATAAAGATCAAAATAAAATTTATAAAAGCTTGTTTTGCCGCCATCAATAAATTAAAAAGGTTTAATTATATACAAAGTGGCCAGGTATATTTACATCCTTGGTTTAACCTTACCACTACTAGAAGAATGAATAGGTCCATAGGAGAACCTAGTGATTTGGGAAGTGATGATGATTTAATTATCGACACATGATAGTGACATTCAGTCAGAGAACTCAGTCTTGCAAAAAATCTTTCAGTCTTAAATAATAAAATGAATTTTGATGTGGTATTCTTTAATCATTGTTAATTACTGAGTAACAAACAAATTCATATAACATATAACAAAATGCTCCCTTCATTAGGTACAATCAAAGCTCAAGTGTTATAAGGGCATATCATCAATATGTAAGATTTTCAATTATGAATTCGGACAAGTGAGTTAAGAGTTCGGACAAGGGACAAGTTAAAAAAAATGATAATGTAGAGGCCTGCCTACTACAGCTTAGATATAAGTAGGTTTATAATTCTGTTTTTGAATCAAAAGATATGTTCATTATACTATAAAAAAAATATAGGGAAAATAATGTGTCCTGAGGATTGAAAAAATATGTAATCAGTATAGATATAGGTTACAATAAACCTTTATAAATATTAGATGTCGTATGATTGCCAATGAGACAACTATCCACCAAAGTTTAAATGAAGTGGATGACATAAATTATAGACAACCAAACAGCTTCAACAATGAGAAAAACCCATACCGTATAGTCCACTGTAAAAGGCCCCGACATGAAGAAATGGGAAACAATTCAATAGAATTATGACATACATGAACCAAATACAACCACTGAACTACAGGCTCCTGACTGGGGACAGGCGCATAAAGAATGTGGCGATGTTAAACATGTTTGTGAGCGCTCAACCCTGCCCTAACCTGGGACAGTGGTGTTCAGCACAACATAAGATCATTGGTTTACAATGTTATATTCTCACGGCTATAATGCCATATTGCTGTGAAAATATAACAGATCAATTGAAGCACTGATAGTTTTCTTAAACAAGTATATGTTATTAATATACTGTTTTGTTAAAGAAATCTTTCGTGCTAGGATTGATATGTAAAAGGAATAAATCAAACAAGTATATTTTTATGCCTTTGTCGTATTGGAGGGGGCATTAAGTGTTACCCTTGTCCGTCTGTCTGTCCCGTCCATCTCAAAAATTGGTTTCCATTCTCTAACTTTAGTTTGCCTCAACCAAATGTTATGAACTTATACACAATGCTTATGATCACAAAACGATCTATGTGGAAGTTGACTCATGCATATTTACAAGCGGGGGCATCTGTGGCCCATAGACACATTCTCCATTTATTTTATTATTTGTTTATAGGCTGATGTAATGACAATGATTTCATGGTGTTGGGAGTAAGAATTGGAGATCTGATACTGCTAACATGTTGGTAGGTATACAAACTTTTTTTAATCTATTAGTGTTTGATATCAATTTAATAATGGTTCAGGTATCAGAAAAGATTGAATTACATGGAGATATTCAGCTCCAGAGGAAAGAGGGTATATGATTGTCCAAAATGGTAAAAATACTGCCAAACTTAGAAAAGAGAAGTCGTTTTTGACTTTTTTTTCTATTTGTCAAGTTTAAAACTGAATACCCACTAGATTTCGTGAGTAATAGTGAACCATAAATTTTAAATGTTCTACAACGAAGTACCAATTTTCTATCAATCGACTTTCAATCAAATATACACAGAATCCAATTTTTCCTCAATCACCATGATTGTTGAATATTAAATGAACCCACAGAAATTCGATTTTCCCTCAATGCCCATTAAAATATCTGAATCCACAGTAGATTATTTTGAGGAGTTTAAATAACTGATTCAACTTTGTATTACAGGTTAGCATCACAGCTTGTCCATAGGGATACTGGCTGGGGTAGCATTTGGATCTGTTTCAAGGTGAGAATATATTTATTCATCCACATACAAATTTAATCAATTGATGAAATCTTGTGGACAGTTTAACTTTCTATAAATCTTTATTGTTTGCAATTTATATGTCTTGATATTTTCTACTGTTACCTTATATAATAGATGTAAACAGATATTTTTATAGTTGAGAAGGTTTATAGTCCTTTTTAACTACTTTCACTTATTCCATCTTTAAACTTTTGCCAAATGACCATGTACTGAATCATAAAGAGAATCATTGTTTTTATGATAATAAAGAATTTTGTTTACTTGTAAAGGGGAGATACCCTCACATTCATTTGCAAGTGCTGTTACAAAGATAAGATGTCTTAATTATATTAAACTTTGCTTCTTATTCAGTTTTGTATTTCTTTCAATACAAATTTCCAAAGAATTCATTTCTTCAGTCAATATATGGAGAAAACAAAGTAAATGTCATAAAACTTGAACTAAACAATGAAAGTTTATCAAAATAGCCTGAATTATTTTACCATGTATGTACATTTTTCAAATTTTCAGCTTAATAACTTCTGCAATTGTCTGAAACTCAATGAATGATTTTAAAATGCGATACCGGTAATAGTAATTTTAACACCTTGAAAATCAAAATTGGTATATTAAGATTGCTTTCCATTTTATAACAAATTTAGCTGCACGATTTCTATTGCAATATTTTTTGGTAAATCAAGTAATTTGAATAGAAAACAAGTTTTTTTACATACAACAATATCTGTCTATTTAAAAGAAAAATTGCCACTCAAATATTTAAACATTACCTAATTCATATATTTTAACATTACTTAATAACTTTGAATTGTCAACAAATGAAATATTATTTTATTCCCTTTACAGGTGTGTTCCTGCTGCTGCCTTGTGTGTTCCTGCTGCTGCCTTGTGTGTTCAATCCTGTGGACAATAATAATCATGCAAACCACATATATGTTGCATTTTTGTTTATTAAAATCCTTAAGTGATAATTCCGAAAGCCAAATGATTAATTTTTTAATGCTATTATTTATTTTTCATTTACTGTAAACTCACAAATTTTTGTTTTTTAATGCTGTTATTTATTTTCCAATTATTGAAAATTCACAGATTTTTGATATATTTTTTTTACTGAAAATTGCTACACCAAGATAGATTTTGCAAAAATAAAATTATATTTTAAATTTTGATAGCATTATTTATTTGCAACATGTCCTTAATGACAATAATTAATTTAAATAAATGCTTGCAAATTTTTTTTGAATTTACAGTATAAATATGTTTTCATTATTTATATATGCATGATATTATTATACATTGTATTTTCCTTTATAATAAACAAAATTGTATAATAGTTGTTATTTGAGAAGTACCAGTGTACTGTTTTACAAAGCATCCATTAGACATCAACAAAAATTCTGGCCGTATCTGGATTGAAAATAATACCGGTAATCTTGTCCACTTTTTTGCTATTAGAAACAAAGATTTTAAACAGAATTATTGAGCATTAAATGAACATGTTGAATGAAAAACGGGCATAATTTTTTTGGGGCCGGGTGTTTGCATGTTGTAAATCCCATATCTGACCGGAATGTCTGTTTCTCCGAACTGATATGCTGAATACTTTTTTCAAGGCCCGACTTCAACCTGCCTGCTCGGTGTGGCCTTTATGTCTCCATTTGGCGACCGTCATTCACAACTTCGTTGTCATTTCAGACTCATTCGTAGCCTTTGGTTGATTTGGAACCCCTCACTTCCCTTGTTGGGTGAAACATTTCAACCAAACATTTGGATAAAAATTGCTAGTTTGTCTTTGTTCGTGTCTGTCGTATTGTAAATTTCATTGAATGGCCGTATATCTTGTTTTCAACAAGAAATCTGTGAGGTTATGCTAACTAACCTTACAACAAACGAGACTTTTCCATGTCCATTTTTTACTGACAAATCCCACATTAAATATATTAGTACATAGCTTTGGAACCATCCAATCATTTTATAATAGACAATTAATAGGGAAAATACGGCATAAAAAATGTCCAACCCTTACACTTTAACTACTATAAAATATACATGCCCCACGTCAGGAACCGTTAAAAAAGTGCATTTTACACTTATTTTATGTTTTTTAGCCAAAAATAGGTCCAAAAATATTTTCACCTCGCTCCTCTTGGCGAACTTTGCATACTCCGCCCCCCCTTTCCAAAATCCTAGATCCGCCCCTGAAGAGAAATCTATTACTCATTGATTAATCTACCTGAACAAAAAATCAAACTTTCAATGGTGAAAATACATGTACCAATACTAAATAAGGACTCACAAAAACGCATGTGATGTTGTATTTATTCAATATCAATAATACATTTTCAATTTGTTCAATATAATTAACACTTATTCAAAATTTAAAAGTTGATTTATCATGACAAAATTTTCAACATTGTTCCTATTAAAATTTGTCTTTTTGTGTGTTTGACAAATAAGAACTAGAAAATGACGATGTTTAGATCAAGGCCTTCTTAAATGTATTCTCATGATAACTAAATAAACAGCTGCGCCACGAGCGCATGATATGCTCGTCGTCTTGTGTGTGAGGTTTTATGCAATAATCATAAATAGTTTCTGAGATACGGCGCGACATGTGAAAACTCCCCTTTTTTTTAATAAAAAAATCAATAACTCTAAAATAAAATTTTGAATCATCACCAAAAAGTGTATACAGATCTTTAGATTAATATAATTAAGAAGTGTGTAAAGTTTTAAGCAATAATCGTAAATCGTTTTTGAGATACGGCGCGACATGTGAAAAATACATACCCCTGTTTTAGTTACACAAAGTTCCGTATCTCAAAAAATTTTAATCTTATTTTCATCAAAAAGTATACAGATCGTTTGACCATCATAAGAAACAACTATATTAAGTTTCATGAAATTTGGATAAGTTGTTCTCAAGTTGAGGTGGGACATGTGGACGCCGGACATTTGTATACCATAATACGTCCCGTCAAAATTTTGACGGGCGTATAACAAACACACAAAAATTGCAAATTTCAATAGGAACAATGATAAAATTTTTGTCATATGATTAAATCAATGTTATATTAAACAGATTGAAAATATATTATTTATATTGAAGAATAATACAACATCACATGCAGTTCTGTGAGTAATAATACATGTATTTTCATCAATTTAGAAGATCACTTTTTAACTCGGGTAAATTAATCAATGAGTGATAGATTTCTCTTAGAAGAAATTTAAAGGTCCCAGTTAATAAACTGCACAGAGAACAATAGCTATTGTTTTTATTAGATGGGACAAAAGAACTTACAAAAGTTTAAATCGACAGGTAACTTTCGAGTGAATCTGCGGAAAAGTATCCTTTGGTACGCAATAAAAGTTTTGCATGTTGGCACAGTGAAACACAGTGTGTCTGTTGAAGATGATGGTGTTTGATATGGATAGGTTTGTTTAAAAATAATATGTACCACAGGGCGCAGCTTGATACGACCTGAACACTTAGGGCACTAGTATGATACAGCTCAGAATTTTGATTGTGATGAAATATTTGACACAGCATACATAGGTTTCTGACAAAAAAATTAGAATGAATGTGGTCTAAGAACTTAAAAATTTGAAATTGGACATTTACTTATTATGGTCCAATATCCAAAATATAAATGCATGGTTAGATTCAGCATATCAAAGAATTCAATTATTGATGAAATCAAACAAAGCTTAATTTTGGACCCCTTGGACCTCAATGTGAACCAATTTGATAGTGAGCCCAAAATCCAAAATCTAAAGACATGGTTAGATTCAGCATTATAAAGACCCCAAGAATTCGACTTGGAATTAACCCGGGGTCCCCATTCAAATTGGTCAAGAAATACTGTAAATTCAGAAATTATTGCAATTTTTTTTTAAATGGACAAAAATGCGAGATTAATTATTGTTATTTCATGAAAATCTGCATACATATCTTTGTATCAGATATAAGAATACAAGTTATTATTGTGATACTCAATCAGTTGGATTATTTGCATTAATAAAAAGTTTCGCAATTATTTCTGAATTGACAGTAAGCAATTTATACAAAGTATTAGAAAAGTATTATTTTTGGTCCTTATTCATAAACGGTCAGGGCCATAATCCCCAAAATTAATCCCAACTTTTCAGTTTTGGTATGGAACCTAGTGGTATAATTTCATAGACTTTTACCATTTGATTTTTATGGGGGGGCTAGGATCGAAAATTTTGTCCTGCCTTTTTATTTTTCCCTCTATTCGGTCCTGCCTTTTTTTTTTAGTTTATCCTGACTTTTTTTATTAAACTAATTTGCCCCCCCCCATAAAAATCAAATGGTAGCTCTCTTAAGTTATTGTCTTGATACCAGAAAATCCTTGTTTTTTGCCCCTTAATTCCTTTATTCCGATGTTGTGTTTTGTGTACTATTGTTTGTCTGTTGGTCTTTTTCTTTTTTAGCCATGGCGTTGTCAGTTTATGAGTTTGAATGTCACTCTGGTATCTTTCGCCTCTCTTTTTCAACGGTTTGGGCCATTACCCTCAAAATCAATCCCAACCTTCCTTTTGAGGTATAGAACCATGTGGTACAATTTCATAGAGCGTCCTATTGTGTACTTACTAACCTTTGAACAGTTCTATATTTGAAGATTATTTTAGGTCAAAAGTTACCAAAGCTATAGTTCAGCAAGGTCACATTTTAACGTGGCCTACTCGTCACCTTCCTCAAATTTCATTTAAACCTCACTTTGAATTTATATGTTGTGCTGGATGTATAGATACGAGACACGTCCTATCAGAATGGAAACGTAAAATCCAATGCCTCATGCAGGCAAATGCCACGCACTGCACGTTAAAGAATCCTTGTAATATCTCCTCAAGATGTCTGTAATTATTGGTTGCCTGTTGTAAGGTAAAATTTCTGCCCTATCTCAAACATCCTCTTTCAAAAGAGGCAGTTTATATTTGTGCTAACAAGCCTTGAAAAATTGACGTATTTTGTTTTCGTCCTGAGTATGTTCTTTTATGCATAGATGTACTGTGATCCACAAAATTTGAAATGTAAAATAACAAAAATACTGCACTCCAAGGAAAATTCAAAACGGAAAGTCCCTTAATATATATCAAATGGCAAAAATCACAAGCTCAAACAATACAAGTATATTACGGGAAATATACATGGGATCCCTTTCATTTAAATAAAAGTAAAATAACCATGACAATAACTTAAAAATATTTTCAGTGAATCAGTTTAAAGAGGGTCGTAATGGGGGTACCTTCATGACGAATAACGATAAAAAATCTAGCCAAATGACGTTAACGATAGTTTTAAGTGCATGATGATAAAATGTACTGTACACTTTCTTTATGACGATAAAGCAATATACTGATATTGACTAATCATGTTAAATTCTTTCCAAAAAAAATGGTAACGATAAATTATTTGAGACCTCTGATGAATCACGATAAAATTTTAACCAATTTGATGTTAACGGTAGCCGAATATGACCGTTTGACGCCTGACGGTAAAGGGCATCCCTACCCTCTTTAAATAAGGGGAAAATAAACATGGGCAATAGCGAAATGAATATTAGTTCTAGCTGCTACTACTACTACTATAACAAAGTGAGTGGATTAGGTGGCTGCCTTGATAAATCATCTGGGAAAGATTTATTTTTTTTTAAACTGTGTCAAATATCTATGATATAAGTAAAGAAAATGCAAATTTAAAGTCACCTAAAGGAAATTTGGAAATTGAATCAAACAAATATTTAATAGGATTTGAAATTTTATGTTAGTTATATTTTTTGTATCCAAGTTACACATACTAAATTGAAAATAAGTTTTATAAGTATCAACAAAATCAATAATGGCAAAGTGAAATATCATCATGATCATAGTTTTGAATTTTTGAGAATCAAAGATTTATAGAAATGTTTTTAATTAAAAAGGATCAATAAAGCAGGTATTGAGTACAGGGTTGAAGCATTTATTTTATACCTCCGAGTAAAACTGGAACCTGATAGAATGCATAGCAACGTGTAATAACATTGAATCTATGGATTCATATGTTCAACTATACCACTGGATGTACCAGTAGAATAAAAATTTCTGGACTGGTAATCACA